CGCCCCCCCCCGCCCCGAGCGGGCCGGTAAGGGTGGCGCTCACCACCGCGCGGTGCTCTCCTCGTGCCGTTTTGCGGCGTGCAGACGTAAAAAGGCGGCCCCGGCGGGTGCGCGTGTCACGGTGGCCTTTACCTGCCGCCCGGCTTGTCGGAAAGCCTGCTGCCGTGTCCCGTTCCCCTCTCTAGAGGGTTTGCCTCTTTAAAGAAGAAAAGCTTGCCCAGTCGCTGCTTTTTTTTTCCAAATTCGTTCATGTAATTATTCAAAGCAGTTTTATGTTTAGGCGCTTGTGTGTTGTGGTTTCTGTTTATTCTCCTTGTTCTGCTGTTCACCTATGCTTTATTCCTGAAAACGCTTTCAGCTGCCTCTGTGTGCACCTGCCTTCGATCTTAAGTTCCCTCCTTGCCGAGGACTCTCCATACCTGCTCTTTAGAAGACCCTGCAATGCCAAAGAAAAGCAGAGTAGCGCATAACACTGTAGGAAGTTGTTCTGTTATGTTTGTCTGGCATAATAGTTCCAGAATTAAACTTGGATTATACTGTAGGCTTGTTGCTAATTTGCTGTTGAGGAGGAGATGTTGTTGAAACACGTAAAAGTGGGTGAACTGTAATTCTTGAACACTACATATGTTTTGTTTCTTTAGAAGAATAAATTTTTCTCCTCTTTAGAAGAAAATATTAGGAAATGGCAGAAGCTGTTTTCCAACCCCCAAGAAGGAAAAGAAGAACTTTTGAGTCATATGAATCTCCCTTTCCTGTGGATGTAGATGGCAAGGATTTCAGAATATACCAGGCTGAAATTATTAACAACAATGTTGTTGTGAGGAACCCTGAAGATATTGAACAGCTGTATAGCAAGGTGGTGTACCCTATTTGCACAATGTTTCTAGTGTTCTGCTCCATGTATGTTAAAAATACTCATTAAAATCGGCCTCCCTCTCTGCTTTCCTTCCCCTTTAGCCTCTAGTAATCTTCCATATCTCCTTCCTCTTCTGAAATAAATACCAAACATATATTCTGTATCAAATATGGAAAGTGTTTCATTTTTAGCCCAGTAAATATGTTTTGGAATGAAGTGGCATCATGATCTAAAAAACAGATGCAAAGACTTAATGTCTCTTATGTTTATTTATCCTGCTCATATTTTATACAACCTTGCAAAAGCATTTTCATGTTATTCAAGGTCAGGAGGTTGTAATATCAGTGTTTTAAATGTACTTATATAACTCTTTTAACTTCAGTGTGGTGTCTTGAGTAAAATAAGCTACATTAAGCCTTTACATCTAGGTACGTTTAATTACCTGTTGCCATTCTTATGCAATAACTTTATCCATACCTGTTTCCTATTACACGTTGTCACAGTATTAATGCGCAGGTAGGGTGTTTTTTTGGGGGGGAGGGGGAGGGTGTTTTGCTTGGAGATTTAATCTTAAAGATATTTAGAATTGGGGGAAAAGACCTAAAGTCCTCCACTGGCTAAATATTTGAGTAGAAGTGTTTAATACTGGACTAGTTATCAGAAGCTAAGCAACAAGCTTTAGACCAAGTTTAGATGCTGCATGATTTCATTCTGTTTCAGTAAATCATGGTAGAAAAGGTTTGATAATTTGGAAAGACGTTTGTTTTTTTTATCTGATGATATAATAAAGATTTTTGTTTTCCTTTGAAGGGCTATTTTGGTAAAGGTATTCTTTCAAGAAGTCGACCAATGTACAGCGTTTCAGATCCTTTACTGATTACGAAGTGGCAAGGTAAATTGTACCCGTTTCTACTTTCCTCATTGTTCTAATAGTATTTTTTTTTATTTCTCCTTGTTTATTGAAGATGCAAAAATAATTTCTATACTGGGTCAAACCAAGGTTGTGTCTGTCCCCTTACCTTGTGTCTGATGATGGCCAGTACAAGATGCCTAGGTTTAAAAAAAAAAAAAAAAAAAAACAGGAAAGCGGAACTGATAACTCCTTAGTACATTCTCCATCCTACACTGATTTGCTGTTTGGGACCTTTGTAAGTCAAGGTAGCATCTTTGGACTTTTTTCCCAATAACTATCCATTTTTTTCTTGTTTCTGATCAGCAGTTTTTAGTGTCCACAAAACTGTGCGGCAAGGGTATGTGAAATTTTGAATCTGCTAGTAAGTAATTACCTGTGATGTGCTCTTGTTCATGTGTAGAAAGACTATCATTCCTTATCCATCTTCTCAATGACACTTTTAAGTCACCATAGACATGAATGGATTTTTACCATATCCTCCTGCAATTGTCTTTTTACAGGCTGGAAAAAAGTAGTGTATTTAGCTGTTCCTCTTCTGGAAGCTCTTTCATCTTTGTTACCTCTGTAGTTTTTCTAGTTCTGCTGTGTTCACGAGAATAGAAACGAAACCAAAATTGCATACAGTGTTGAAGATATGAATGCTTATTATGCCACAGAATATATCAATAGTTTTAAAAAGTTATATTAATGAAACAATATATGATTTTTTTTTAACATAGGTACTAACATAAACCTGCCTATCATTGCATCAAAAAAGTAAGTTCATCTACATTTTTCTTTTTTTTTTTTTTTTTTTCCTTTGGAAGCATATGATTCTATTTTCTGTTTTATCAGACTGGTTTTCAGTGTTGGCTATACAGATGTGGATGACTTACTATTTATTTTCTTTGTTTTGTATTTATAAATCACATTAGGAAAAACTACAAATAGATGAGGTGGTATTTCAGCGTGAGTTTTACCTGTATTACATGTATTAATTGCTTACAAGTATTAATTGCTGAATAGAAGTCAAGATTGAGTGCATGCTTAATAATATGGGTAATTCATTCGTAATAATATCAAGTGTAACTTGTTTCTCAGCTGAGGAGGAGTGAAGTAAGATTCTGGGGCAAGCTATCTAACGTAACTTTTCCATTTGCTGATTGAATAAACTGAGTGGGCTGAAGCAACGCCTGAGACTTAATAAAATGTAAATGTGTTACTTCCCGCCCCCCGCCTTTCATTTCTATAGCCTGTAGTTAGGCATTGTGAATTCGTACACTTAACATAAGGGAGTACTGGACCATATATTTATTCTTTTCAGTTTAAATAGTTTATGGCATAACTGTAAGAATGTATAAGTTGGTTTCTGTATTTGCTTTCATACTATGATAACTGCAAAAATCTTAACTTTTAAATTAAAAATTTATGCTCCTTCAGTCTCAAGTAAGACAGGCAGTAGCAATATTATCGATATATATTCTACTTGCAGAAACACTTGCCATTCTTACTAGTCTACTTTGTGACTGTGTAACTAGCTACTTTATGTGTCAGCAAATACAGGTGAGCATCAGTGAAACTGTCTTTATATTGGTGCAGAAGATGCATCATGGTCTGTCTCAACAGAGATCAATAAGTGCAAACTATGTAGTAATTAAGTCCTAGGACAAAGAAGAAAGCTTATTTTTTGATAACAAAAGGTACAGCACTGAATTACCATCTTTATTATCAGACTTCAGAGGGACTTGTATTTCATGTTGCCGCATGAAATTTGTGTTTAATTTAATTTGTGTTTGTACAGTTCTTCATTATGTTGTTTGTAGTTGCCATGTTAGAATTTCATTTTGGGAAATAAAGAATATTGTACTAAAATTGTCCAGGTTTCAATAAGGAAAACTACACTCAATCACCTGTAACTTTTGACAGAATAAAGATTAATGTATTAAAACTAGTTTTTTTGTTTGTTTGTTTGTTTGTTTTCCTCAGAGATAGGGGGATTTTGGTAAGACTGAAAATAGTTTCTGGTTAGACTTTTTACACTGGTGTTTTTGCTGTAGCATAGCTGTTTGGAAGGTATTTAAAACAGAAATTAGAGATACTGTTTTTAGTTACCTGTATAATAGATGAAGACTGTGAAAGCTCTGTGTGTAAAGTCTTGGTTGCAGTTTTTAATTATGCAAGTTCTGACTCTGAGATCTTTTCATTGAGAATTCATTCTTTAAGGCTTGTGTGGGGGAAAGGACTTTTTGCCTGATAAAGTTCTTGCTTTTTGAAACTGTATAGCAGTAGTCCTCAATTCATGGTTCCTGGGCAATGTTCTACAGTGGTGCTTGTTGCCACAGTAATAAAAAAAAAAAAAAAAGAAAAAAAGAAAGTCAAAACAGAGCCAAAGAAGATAGCAGAATCTGATGTTGAACAGCGTTTGTCTGCAGGACCTAAAGACTGGAGTTCCGTTATGTTGTGCATGCTTGTGTTTTACACAGCAGTCTTTGGGGTGTATGTTCAGATTTGTCCTGTGAACTGTGAGGAATCTTCTATTTTAAGATGCTTATTTTTAAGGTTTTAATTAAAGGACATTATGTCCTAGAACTTTCCCATTTCTTTTACTTGTTTACTAGGTACCAGTATCATGTTCAGTGGGCTAAAAGTATTTTGCAAGAGCAAGGATTTGATGACTGCTCAATTAGCAAAATTCTTGAAAACTACACTAAGCCTCTTGAGTTGAAAAATGATGGAGCTGAGCAAACTGGTGATTGTTGCAACAGAATGGACCCAAGTACAGAAAACGTAGAGCTTTCGAGAAATTCTTCTACGGACACTGGAAATGCAGTACCTCCAAGTCATGAGTGTCGTAATCAGAAGGAAGGCTACAAGAAAGCCAGTCTGGAAGGAGATCCAGCTTGTGATCCTTTGGCCGTATGTGGCTCTAAAGCACAGGAACCACCTGACTTGAAAGAGATAGCTGAAGTGTCTTGCCAGAAGCACAGTTTTCTTGTGCGTTGTGGCTGCAAGGCGAAGGAGAGCACTGAACAAAGATGTTGTGAGACGGTCGCATCAAAAGAATGTGCTCCAGAATATGTATTGGTGCAAGAGGAAGAAGAAAGTAGTTTATGCCCTGAAGATAACTCTGCTGGTGAGCAAGGAAATGTAAGGCTAAAGAGTATCCTGTTATTTTACAAAGTTTATATAGTCACTGCTACTTCCAGGATTTAGTATTTTTTGCAGTTTAAATATTTAATAATACAGTACATTTTTTGGTTGTAGTTTATCAAGAAGGAAAAACTAGTATGCAGAAGAAATCCATTTAGGATTTTTGAATATTTACAACTCAGCTTGGAAGAGGTACGTTTCAAATACTGCACAACTTGTTTTTCTTTTAACCTCAAAAGCAAACATTAATATATGCTGCCACATAGTTTAATACCTGTTTCTTATGGACAAGGTTCTCCTGTGTCTCCTAAATAACTGGATTGTTTTAATGATTAAACTCATTTTTAATAATCCATGTATGGCATGATAGAGTTTTAAAAAATGTAGAGTCCAATCCCACACACTTCAGATTGGCCTCTCTGATGTCAGTGGGACTATTCAGTCATATGAGTTAAATATTGAAATTCCAGGAATATGATTTTATATAAAATCTGTTCCAATTATGCTAGTTCTAAACATATTCTCATGTTACTTATAATACAGTGCCTTCATCAGTCCTAAGCACATGTGTAGATTTGTTTTTGTAGTGCTGTGTCTGTTGAAATTTAAAGGTTATAAAGACAAATCTCAAAGGAAAGCTTCAGGAAACTTGTTTGTCTCAACATTAGGATTCTTGTATAAAATTAGTTTGAGCCTTTGTTCTAGTGTGGAATAGAAACTAAAGGAATAGTCTAGATATTAATTAAAATTACTTTTTTTTTTTTTTTCTCTCCAGGCTTTTTTCTTGGTGTATGCTCTAGGATGTTTAACGATTTATTATGGGGAGGTAAGAGATTGCCTTAATTTTGTGCTGTGTTCTGAAAGGGAATACCATTCACTTGGATATGTTTTGGTCTAGTTTGGATATGTTTTGGTCTTAAATTCTTAATGATTATGGCAGTATTATATATTGTTACTTCTGAAGGAGGAAGTACCAGAGTAATCTGGAAATTATTCTTACAAACAGAAATATAATTACTTATAATAATGGTCTGAAAACTTTATGTTTAGCAAGACAAATAAAGCTACACAGGGTCTTTCTATAGAAGAAAGAGCTTATGGGATTGATTGTGAAATATTTAAATAACTGAATGGAAGCACTGAGTTTCTCTTTCGTATTGTAAGGGCTCCATATTTTATTGCCTGAAGTTCATTTTCTTTGCAGTGGGACTATGATATTTGGTATTTGACTCTAATGCTCTACTACACACAACATGAAACAAACTATTCTATATATGCTGTGATATTGTCAGACTAATGCCTTTTGGTGTGATTTTTAGGAGCCTTTAACTATTCTGAAGCTATGGGAAGTTTTCAGCGAAGTGAAGCCCAATTTTAAAACTACGTACATGGCATATCATTACTTCCGCAGTAAGGGATGGGTCCCCAAAGTCGGACTGAAGTATGGAACCGATCTCTGTGAGTAGCTTCCTTTTTTTTTTTTTTTTTTTTAAAAAAAAAAAAAGAAAATTTTTTTTTTATCAGGTGTGACAGCCAGTGCAAGACTAGTGCCAAAGATAAATTCTACAAGGAGGAGCTGCATGACGGGAGCAGACATTGCTACTTGCAGCTGGCAAAAGACATCTTTGGCTAGACTACAGGTTAGCAATAAAATTAGTGTATAAGCAGAATATAACATCACATATCTGATAGCTGAAAAGATAGCTTGAAAGGCCTGCTGCTTTGCTTTATGAGATAACAATTGATACAGGATTGCAATGAAATTCCTCTCTGAAGTTTCTCCATCCTCTTCTACACACACATCCCCTGAACTGTTGATATGGTAGTCCTTGGAATAGCAGGCTTGCATGTAGATTCCAGTTCAGATTGAAGTCCATGCCTCTGGTTTCTCATCTTGTTTAATGGATGCTGGACTTGTATTGAACTTACAGCTAAAATTGTTTCTCTCCGGTTTTTAGGGGGTTGGGGGAGGAGGTTGCTTGTTTGTTAATGATAGGATTTTTGTATCTTATAGAAATAATCGGTAGTGTCCATAAACCCTTGCTAAGTAATTTAGGAACTAATAG